AAAAAAAAAAAAAAAAAGAAAGAAGACCCAGCAAGAAAAAGTCAATGAGAGAACTGAAGGCTGAAGTACAAAGGAAGGGAAATCGCCTTTGCTCCAATTTACAGACTAGTGATTGTCTGAAGGAGTTGTGCTCCCTGTCACCTAATCTCTTCCCTTGGCGGCTTGTTAGCGTTTGGCACGGGGTCTCTGCTCACACAGCATTATACATTCGATATTCAAAAACCCTCCTTACATATACATCACTTGCTAATTTCGTCAGTGGGTGCACGTTTCAGCGACTGATAATAGGACATTGTTATTTAAAGGACAAATAGCTCTGACCCATAAAGAGGCAGGAGCTCGTATTTTTTTTCCCTGCCAATTCCAGTCTGCCTCTTAAAAAATAAAAGTTGAAATGAAAGAGGAGACGAAATGCTGGATTTCTGCTCAAAACGAAGGAGGAGACAAGAGAAAGTAAAGAATGCAATTAAACCACGAAAGTAATGTACAGAATGTCGATTTTTTCTTTATGGTATCTATAGAGACAACTGCATAATACTGTTGAGTTGCAATCCAGAGACCTTTCGGGTTTGCTGTTTGCTCGTTGTTTTTATTTTCTGAACACTCTGATAGATTACATCTTTGCTTTCTTCATGCGCACAAGCCATTTCCCTATCAAGATAATGTTTCTTTCAAGTATTTCAAATTTTCCTTCTCCGTCTCTTAGGTTTGTGCATAAGGTTTGTTGCTCCAACCCGCAGAAGCCCCAGCCCTTGGTAAGAAGTCTATCCATGGAAAAGAAAGTCCCAGCTTATTTCTGTAGGTACCGAAGTGTATTTCATTCGGATCGGTTTTCTTCCTCTTCCGTGTCTAAAATCCTTCTCAGAGATAAATCACTAGCCATTTCTTCTTCTTCGCTTTTTTCTCCCCTGAAATATAAATCCTTTTAAGACTGAGCTATATTTAGTCTTTTTTTCTTTCCGTAGGTGTCCACTTCTGGGGAGAGAACACGATTAAATAAACGTCGGCTGTAGGTACATGAACTCGAAGAGAAGCCCGGGAAAGGGGCGAGTTTTTAATAACCCTGAGACGAAGGTTTATCTCGTTAAAGGTACTTCTTCTCGCTGGTCCATGGAAACTGAGGTGGCTTTGCTCAGCACAGAGGGCGTGAAAGTGAGGAAAGAGTCAGTCCTGGTTGTGGCCGAACAGGTAAAGTCTGATCCGGATGGTCTCTGCGCCAGCCCGTTGGACTGGCCGCTGTGGCAAGCCAGGCAGGAGCAGGGGTTGCCCCCGGCGCTGCTGAGTCCATGAGTTGGGGCAGGGTAGAGAGAAGGATGCCTGAAGGCGCACAGCAGTTCTGGTCTCGGGTAGGGGTGGGAGAGGACCCTGAAGGTGTCCAGCGGCCTCAGGGGGGTACTGAAGGGGGTGGCGGCAGAGGCCGATGTGGCTCCGATGCCCATGTGGGAGTAGTAGGGCAGGGGCAGGTGGGACGGGAACGGGTACGGCAAATTGCCGGTGGCCGCCGCGTGGCTCATCATGTAAGTATAAAACGCCGGGTCGGCCGGGTGAGGCCAGGTCATGGCCAGGCGCTGCCGCTTGTCCTTCATCCTGCGGTTCTGGAACCAAACCTGCGGGGAGAGGGGAGGCGAGAGCCGTCACCCGCCGCCGCCCCGACCCGCGCGACCACCGGGGCGGGCGAGGGTTGGAGCGGGCCTGCCGGCGAGGGGAGACCGGCGCCAGCTCTCGCTCCCAGAGGGAGTTGTCAACACGTACAGAGGGATCAGTTAAGCCCCTATAAATCTACAGGGACACCCAGTGGAGCAGCCCCTTTAGGGTGCTTGTTTTCCCTTCTTCTTGTTAGGGCTTGTCCTGCTGACCACCACCCCACCCCCGGCTCCGGGCAAGCCCGGCAGCTCTGCCTCCATACTGCCGTTTTGCAGCCAGAACTACCTGGGATTATTGTTATCGGGTTTATTTTCATGAGCAAATGTTTTTGAAAAGGCAAAAGCAAAGCGAGACCAAAACAAGATCTGCTACTGCCTTCCTCTTCCCTCCCCCAAGAGCTGAGCCAGGTTTGGACTGGACTGAAGGGAGAATTAAACATAATCTGCTGGGGAGAGGCCGGATTAGTGGTGCTGGCTGGGATGGCTTCGGGAGCCGTGTCCCCTCTCCCGCATTGCTGCAGGGTGCGGGCAGGGCCAGGAAAGGGGCGGGGGAGGGTGTGTGTGTAAGAAGAGGGAGGGTTGTGCTGGCGAAGTGCTTTCCCGAGTTTTGCAAGGAAGTTGGGCCATATAGATTGATACCGTGCTAATTGGAAACATGCTCGAGCCGTGTGTACCTTGATGGTGGTTTCTGGCAGATTTAGAGCAGCCGCCAGTTCACATCTCCGGGGCCTGGACACGTAGTTCTCCCGGTAAAACTCCTTCTCCAGCCGGGCGATCTGCTCGCGGGTGAAGGCGGTGCGGTAGCGGCGCATCTGGTC